AAATGAAACATTACAAATCTTATGTTTATGCATACAACTTATAAAATAGAAAAAAGTTGCTATTTTTCCAATAGGATAGCATCACACTAACACTATATAGTTAAGATTGAAAGCTTCTGYACACATGTTCRCTCTACCTCCAGAGCCTCTTGGACATTCTCATTTGTTACCTAACATATGCCAATCATGGTTTCATGGATCTTTATCAGTTTGAGCAGGCTAAAACAATCATTCTTATTTAACCACAAGACAAAGTTAACCAGTTTCAGGGAATGAACGGTTCATAATCAGTAAAGAAACACTAATATTAACCCTTCCCCCCATTTTAGGATGGAAAAGTCTTCTAAGGACATGATATAATCTTAACAGAATGGACTATGTCCCTAGATACAGTGAATGTGGGAACAGTCAGGAGCCTGAAAGAACACAATAAAATACACAGGACCTAAATTATCATCAAATAAGAAATAACTGCTAAAAACTCAAATGTGAATTACTGATTTTTCTAGTGTAACATCAATCAGTTTGTTGGGGTCTAATTTGGTCTTCCACTACATAGTTAATAGTAGTGCAAATAATAAACAACAGGGAGTAGTCTAAATCACAAGGAATTTCAAAAAATTGTAATGATTGTATATATAAATTTATTTTTGTATTCTGAAAATGTTCTAGATAACTCAATTATTTTCCTAGCTTCTTAGATCTTCTACCATATTAAAAATTTCAAATTAAACATGGTTGCCTGCAAATTCTTTTCAAGAAGTAAAAGCAAAAGACATTTTGGTTGTTGTGCTGCTGGTCTCCTTGTGTATGTGCTTTACCAATAAGAGCACTACTCTAAGCATTTATTGTGCTACTTTAACATAATCAAACATGAGAAAAATTAAAAGTTCAAATTTCGACAAAGTGATTTTGGTAGCAGGCTTTTAAAAGTGAAAAGAAAAATTAATATTAGATAGCCATTCTGACCATTTGAATTAGGAACTTAAATTTTTAAGACATTTAAGATGTTTAGTATTTTCTTACTCGCTTTGGTTTTTTCTTTTTTAAAATGAAGATATATGGTAAAAATGACCTCAAAGATAACTCCCTCTAAAAGTAACATAGGGCATCATTTGTCACTGCTTTGTAATAGAAATAAATTTTATCAATATTTTTAACTTGAATGTTTTCAAACAACTAACAATTTTTAATAAAGCTCTGGTTCAAGTTTTCAGCTGTTAAATTTTTAAAAACTATAATTTGGATCTCTGATGGAGAGAACTTAGCTGGGCTACACTACTCTGACAACCGTATAGGACAGTGAGGTTCAGGAAGAGATCATTTTCTGAACACGGTTGACCTTTAACAGAACTGATTATTTCCTCACCCAAACAGCTATGCAGGATACTGCTAGATCTCCACTACAAAATCTCATCAGATTTTCTAGACAATTGTTTACCATTCATGTTTAAAAACCTTATACCACCAGAGGCAAAGCAGATAAAAATGAAAGTAAGTAAACTTGTTTCTAGTCTAGTCGATTTACCTAAATAAATTCTTATAAAATTTTATGGAAAAATTAAAAGTGTAGAAAGCAATTTCTTTATTATTTATCTGTCAGCCAAAAAGTTACTATTAATTCTCCATAAAAAGAGGAAACTCAACCACGAAATATCTACCAGTTTAAATTAAAACATCAGTCCTGAAGTGACACCAAAACAAATTTAAGATGATGCTTAAAATGAAAGCTATGGTTCAAAAGTTTGTGTTTATAATAAGAGACTAAAATCTTGTCACTGCAAAATCCCCAATATTTTTTGGCACTGATATGAAAAGAAAGATTTTAGTCTTTTGGTCACTAGAAGCTGCTAACTAAATATAAGCCTGAAAAAAGGGGGGGAAAAGAATGAGGAACTGAAGGGTACTTAGGTAAGTATTTCATATACAAATAAAACTGTTCAAAATAAACAGTCATTTCTACTAGGGATCTGAAGATATAAGAACAGTTTCCCACCATCTCTTCCATTTTGAAGAGGATCCTCTAATCAGAAATAATTTCTTTAAGTTACTGTAAGTGGTGTTGCCTGGCAGCAGCTTCAATTTCCTAGGCTAGTCTTCAATCCAAATAATTAAGTAATCTCACAAGGAATAATCATACATGACAACAGGGTTAAAAAAGCAGGGCTGTTCTTTCATGCACAAACATTTCAGGAGAAAAACCATCAATTTTAAAGATAACCATCAGACTTCAGGTATCCTAGCACACTCTTATACCTAAGTTTTGGTTTATACCATTGGTGACTAAAATTAATTAATAGTAAGTTTTGCATTGAGGTTTTTTTTCTTTCTTTTTTTGCCTGCAACTATATACACATTGCAAAACTATTCTGCATCACATGATTTTAAATGAAATAAATATAAATATGAACCACACAATCAACACATAACTTTAATACTCCACATTATTATCTTGATCACAAAGGTGGTAACCTCCTTGTCAACAATCTTGTGAGTTGAGGAGCTGATTCTCATTGTCATATCCATCAGGCAGATATGCTCTCCTCAGCTGGTCTGACTTAGGTATGGGGCCTCCATTCTTCACATGGCGAGACAGGAAAGCACGGACTGCTGGGTGATCAGCCTTCTCAAGGGGGATGTTGGCTTCCAGGCACATTTTCACAAAGTCCTGGATAACACTGACTTTCTCTGTTTGCACAGTACTGTTGCACTGAAGAGATGCAGTTAGGGGCCTCTGCTTCTTTCTCACATTCTGCTCTTCAAATTCTGCCTTCCTCTTGGTATGGGTCTTTGACTTGAGGTGGTCACTGATTGCAGACTTGCGAACATGATTCAGAACCACATTGCAAGAAGTGCAGAAGAGTTTTCCTCCATCTTCGTGAAGCTCACCTCCAAATTCAGTGACAGGATCTAGGGGTGTCATATACAAAGCAGTCTTAGAACGGTTTCGGGCAGGTGATGCTATTACTACAAATCGTTCCATTTTAATCCTGAATTAGGTTCAGATTAGTTTCCAGTATTTTTTTCTTGATACTTAGTAGTGAAGGGTCTCCAGTGAAAAACCTGAGACACATCAAATCCTGGCATTTTCCGTTTATTCACACCCGGAGACGCCTTCAAATCAGTTTTTCAACAAGTGGTGGTGGGGAAATAGTTTCTGGGCTTGCACCTTATTTTCCCTGAGGTGCCGGGTAGTCATGCCTTTACGTAAGATCCGGGCCGCTGTTAGGGGAAGTGGACGAGATCCGGCCGGAAAGTAAAGAGGAAGAAAAGGAGGTGCAAGGGGGTGAGGGAGGAGGGGGAGGAGGAGGACCCGTCACTGATGACGACGTTGCCCGCTCGAGCCCGAGGTGGCCGCCGTGTCCCCCCCTTCACCTCGTCTTATATATAATTTTGTATAACGATGAGAGTATAGGAAAGACAGTAGTAGAGTATAGGAAAGACAGCAGAAGACAACAGACAAAAGTATGGAAGTATTTTAAAAAGTGGATGTGTAACCAATGTGATTCTGCAATCTGTATACGGGGGAAAAATGGGAGTTCATAACCCACTTGATTCAAATGTATGAAATATGATATGTCAAGAGCTTTGTAATGTTTTGAACAACTAATAAAAAAGAAAAAAGCCCTAAACCTTCTCCTAACACTGACCATAACCCTAATACTAAACCTAAACCTAACTGTAAAACTAACTCTAACCATCATCCTAACCCTAAATCAAACACTTACCAGAACACTAACTTTAACCAAACCCAAACACTAATTCTAACCCTAACTCTAACACTAAACCTATCCCTAAACCTAACCCTAACACAAACCTTAATCCTACCACTAATCTACCACTAACCCTTACTCTAACCCTAAACTAAACCCTAACACTAACCCAAAAACTAACCTTAACCCTAACTCTAAAAATCACCCTAACCCTAACCCTAACTTTAACCCAAACCGAAAATTAACCCTTAAATTAAACCTAACCCTAACCCTCACGCTAAAACTCACCTGAACTCTAACCCAAAACCTTACAATTACCCAAACCATTACCCTAAAACTAATACTAACCATAACCCTAAAACTAATACTAACCATAACCCTAACACTAAATCTAATCCTAATCCTATCCATAAACTTAAATCTAATCCAAACCCTAACGATAACACAAACCCTAATCCTAAACCTAACTCTAACCCTAACACTAACCCTAACGATAACCATAACCATAACACTAACTCTACATCTATCACAAGCACTAACCATAACCATAACACTAACCCTAACCTAACCATAATTCTAACCCTAATTTAACTCTAACCCTAACCATAAGCATAACACTAACCCTGAACTTAACACAAACCCTAACCCTATCCATAACCCTAGCCCAAACCTAACCGTAACCCTAAACCTAGTTTAACCATAACCCTAACCCTAAAACTTACTTTAAACCTAAACCTAACCCAAACCCTAACACTAAGCCTAAACCTAATATGAAATCTAACCCTAACACAAACACTTACCCTAACCCTAACCCTAACCCTAACCCTAACCTAACCCTAACCCTAAGCCTAACGCTAACCCTAACACTAACCCTAACCCTAACTAAAATTCTAACTTTTACCCTAACACTAACTCTAACCATTACGGTAACCCTAACCATAATCCTAAATCTAAACCTAGCCATAATTCTAACCCTAACACTAAACCTAAACCTAACACTAAATGTATCACTAATCCTAACCCTGATCCAAACCCTAGCACTAAAGCTAACACTAACCCTAACACTGACCATAACCCTAACCCTAACCATAATCGTAACCCTAAACCTAAAAGTAAAACAAACCCTTACCCAAACCATAACCCTAAACATAACCTAACCCTAATCCTAACTCTTACCTAACCCTCACCCTAAACCTAACTCTATCACTAACACTAACACTAACCCTAACCTGAATCCTAACACAAACCCTAACCCCAACCCTAACACTATCACTAACCCTAAACCTAAACCTAACACTAACCCTAACCGTAAATCTAAACTTAATCTTATTCATAACTCTAACACTAAACCTAATACTAACACAACCCCAAAACCTAACCCTAAACCTAACACAAACCCTAACCCTAACCATAACACTAACCTTTACACCAACCCTAAACTTAACCATAATCCTAAATCTAAACCTAATCCTGTACATAATCCTAACCCTAATCCTAGACCAAAGCTTAACACAACCCCTTTACCTAACCCTAAACCAAACACAGACCCTAACCCTAAAACTAACACTAATCTTAACACTAACCTTAAACCTGACCCTAACTCTTAAACTAACCCTAACCTTAACCCTAAACTTTACTCTTACAATAACCCTAACGCTAAACCAAATCTTAAACCTATCCCTAACTGTAAACTTAACCCTATCCCTAATCCTAACACTAACCCTAACCCTAATGCTAACCCTAAACCTAATCCTAACACAACCCTGAAAAGTAAACCTAAGCCTAACACAAACCCTAACCCTAACACTAACATTTACACTAACCCTATACCTAATCATAACCCTAAATCTAAACTTAATTCTGTACTTATCCCTATCAGTAACCCTAAACCTAACCCTAACACAACCCCTTAACATAACACTAAACCTAACAGAAACCCTAACCCTGACCCTAACACTAACCTTAACACTAACCCTAATCCTAACACTAATCCTAACTCTTGAACTAATCTTAGCCTTAACCCTAAACTTTACCCTTACACTAACCTTAATTCTAATCCTAAACTTAAAACTAACCCTAACCCTAAACCTATCCCTAACCCTAACCCTAACTGTAATCTTAACCCTAACCCTAACACTTACCCTAACCCTAATCCTAACCCTAACCCTAAAACTAACCCTAACATGAATCCTAACCCTAACCGTAATCCTAACCATAACTGTATCCCTAACATTAATCCTAACCCTTATCCTAACACAAATTTTAACCCTAACCCTAACACTAACCCTAACCCTAATACTTACACTATCCCAAATTTGAACCCTAACCCTAACCATAATCCTAAGTGTAACCCCAATCCTAACACTAACCCTAAGGCTAACAGAAACCCTAACACCCTAACACTAACACTAACCCTAACTCAAACCCTAACACTAACATAAAACCTAACCCTTACCTAAACCCTAACCCTAAAACTTAATCTAACCATAACCCTAACCTGAAAACTAACCCTAACTCCAACCCTAAACATATATCTAATCCTAGCACTAACCCTAAACCTAACTCTAACAATAAACCTAACACTAACACTTACACTAACCCTAATCCTAACACTAACCCTAACATTAACCGAAACCCTAACACTCACACTAACTCAAACCCTAACCTAAATCCAACCCTTTTTTATCTGTAATTCTAATTCTATCCCTACCCCTAACCCTAACACGAACCCTAAACTAACCCTAACTCTAACCATAACACAAACCCTAAACCTAATCCTAACTGTAACTCTAACCTGAACCCTATCCCTAACCTGAGCCCCAACCCTAACACTAGCTCTCACCCTAACACAAACCCTAAACCTAACCATAATCCTAACACTAAACTAACCCTAATCCTAACCTAACCCTTACCCAAAACCTAACCCAAACCTAACCCTAAAATTAAACTTAACCATAACTCTAACCCTAAACCTAACACTAAACCTAACTCTAAATCTAACCCTAACAGAAATGCTTGCCCTAACCTAACCCTAACCCTAACCATAACCATAATACTAACCTTAACACTAACACTAACCCTAATTAAAATATAACCCTAACACAAACCCTAAACTTAACACTAAACATAACCTTACCCTAATCCTAAACATAACCCATATTCTAGCCCAAATCCTAATTGTAACCCTAAACCTAACCCTAATCCTAAATTTAAACCTAACACAAACACTTATCCTAACCCTAACACTAACCCTAACCCTAACCCTATTCCTAACTATCCCTAACCCTAAACCTAAGACTAAAACTCATTCTAAGCACAACCCTAACCCTAAACATAACACTTACCCTAACCCTAACTAAATATCAAACCTAACATTAATCCTAACCCTAACTGTCATACTAACCATAAACCTAACCCTATAACTAAACCTAACCCTAACCCTAAGCCTAACCTAACCCTAACACTAACCCTAACACTAACCCTAAACCAAACCCTAACACCAACACTAACCCTAATACTAACCCTACCCTTACCCTGACAATAACTGTAACACTAACCGTAAACCTAACTCAAACCTAAAACCTAACCCTAAAAATAACCCTAACCCTAATCCTAACAAAAACTCACCCTATCTCTAACCAATAACACAAACATAACCCTAACCCTAACCCTACTGCTAACACTAACACTAAACCTAAACCCAACCATAACCCTAATACTAACCCAAACACAAACCGTAACCCTAACCCTAAAACTAACCCTAACCCAACCCTAACCCTAATCATAGCACTAACACTATCCTAACTCTATCACTAACAGTAATTCTAACCAAAACCCTAATCCTACTCATAAATCTAACCTAACACTAACCCTATGTCTTACCTTAACACAAAATATAACCATAACCATAAAACTAACCCTAACCCCAACACAAACCCTAATCCTAACACTAAACTTTACACTAACCCTAATCCTAACCCTAACACTAACTCTTGAACTAACCATAACATTAACCCTATCCATTACCCTTACACTAACTCTAACCCTAAATCTAACCCTAACAGAAATCCTTGCCCTAACCTAACCCTAACCGTAAACCTAATCTTAACCCTAAACCTAACCCTATTCCTAACACTAACAGTAACCATAACCCTAACCCTAATCCTAAACCTAACCCTAACTGTACCCATAACCGTAACCCTAAATTTTACCCTAACCCTAATCCTAACCCTAACCCTAAAACGAACACTAATATGAATCCTAACTCTAACCCTAATTCTAACACTAAACCTAACACTAACCCGAACCTATCTCTAGCACTAATTTTAAAACT